TTAGTACTGATACTACTACTAATAAATTTCTATCACATTTGAAAGCATTGACTAAGTCAGATATGGCACTAGGTGACTTATCTAGTCACAACTACTAGCCTATCTGCTAGTCCCATTACACAGATGAAGCAACTGAGGTTTGGAGAAGTCAAATTACTTTCTCAAAGCCATATACCACCTAGCAAGAAGCTATGAAAATGAAGTCTATCTCACTTTCACATGCCAGATCTTAACCACCATGCTCTTTTGCCCCTCCACGCCTAGAAATAGAGAGCAGAATCCCACGTCCCCCACCCGTTCTCAGCACGCTCACCCTTTGCCAGCCTATCTGCTATTCCCAAGGCTCTTTCCAGCCTGCACGGAGCCATTCTCCACTGTGACTCCCTTTTTCCATTTCACCCTTCGCTGGATCATTTTATGCCTCTATTCCCTCTGCTAATTCAAACTAATTAAAGTATAAAATAGAATAATTGCTTCCATCCCCATACTCTTTTTCTCATCCACCCCGAGGATGGAGTGGTGTTCCCTTTCTGGGAGTGGCCAGACTGACAAGTTGGGTGGAAACTAGGGCCATTCACTTTCTTTTCATCTTGTTGCTTGGTTTTTAACTTGGCCCGTAGCCTGATTTTCCCTGTACTCTCTGTCTGATTTCCATGAGACACTGAGGACAGGGGTGCAACTTGGAGTCATGCTGTAACATCTGTTGACTCACTGTTGAGTCTGGGGCGGGCTTTCTAGAGAAGAGCCAGGCACCTGGGCAATTAGCAGCAGGATTGGGGAATCAGTTCCCAAACTTCCCCCTGGGACTGGCCAGCCGCAGATCTATTAACAGTACATTAACATTGACTTGTTAGGAAGTGGCACTAACGACCCAACACTTCCTACTAGTCCTATTTCTTAATTACATTTAGTTAATTGAGAGAGAGAGAGAGAGAGAGAGAGAGAGAGAGAGAGAGAGAGAGAGAGAGAAGAGAACGAGTGTTATATTGGTATTAGATTGTTAACTTTGTGGGCAGATTAGAACCCCTTTTGCAGAATGTGAGACCAGGGACTACGCTGTACTCTCACATGGTCTCAAGGATAGGACAGATGCCATGTTTTGGAGAAGGGGTGAGTACAGAGAGAAAAGTAAGTGTCGTGGATAGGGTGGAAGGAAGGGATGAGATTAGGCTACCCAGAGATTTGTTATAAAGTGAAGTTTTTGGAAGCCCCATTCCCTTGATGTCACACAAGGTCTTAGGACTTTTAGAGAACCCCAAAATCTTAAATTTCTACCTGCTATGGTTTAGATATGGTTTGAGTGTATCCCCCAGATGTTCATGTGTAGAAACTTTAAGAGGTGGGACCTAGTGGCATTTACATTGATCACTGAGGGCGCTTTCCTCAGAAGAAATTGATGTAGTTCTCACAGGATCCAGGTTATTTCTTGCAACAGAGTTGTTATAAAAAAGCAAGCCTGGCCCCTCCCAACCTTCTTTGGCTTCTTGTCTGGTCATGCGAGCTCTTCCTCTTGCATATACTCTTGTTGTGATATCATCTGCCATGATATGATGCAGTCAGGGAGACCCTTGCCAGAGCCTGGGCCAAACTGTTTCGACTTTCAGCTTCCAAAGCCATAACTGAATAAACCTCTTCACTTTCTAAGTTATTCAGACTCTGTTATTTTGTTATGCTAATGGAAAAAGGATTAATACACTGCCTCAGTGCAGGAATACACTTATTCATAAGCAAACCAGCATTCCTACTCTCTGTAATGTTCATTGTTTAGGGAAGAAGCTCATGAAAACCTCACAGACCTCTTTTTCAGCAAGTTCTTTTGTTCTAACTTTAAGCTTATTAGTGGTGATTTTGATGTCACCTGCAAAAAGAGAAGTCCCAATACCAGGACCTTCAATGAACTCTTCAAGAATTAAAAGGACATCTGAGTCAGGGTTTTCATCTCCATCTTTAAATGTGGTAAATCCAAGTCCCTGAGAAGATAAAAGCCCAGGTCACCTGGGGAACTAAAGGCAGGGCCTGTTATCTGGGTCACAAACCACTTAGCTTCCTAATCATCACATATAGTATCTATTCTCCTAAGTAATGAAATCAGAATGCAAGAGGTGGAAGAAGCCACGTAGAATCTTAATGACCAGTGGAGTCATAGTCTGCATGGAGACAGAGTAAGAAGAACTTCCCTAGCTATTGTCTCAACTGAGTCTCACCCTGACCTTGTGTGACACTCACAGAGGTTAAGTGGCTTGTCTAAGGCCTCTCTGCTATAGAACAGCCAGAATCGGAACTGTGGATTATCTGATGTAACTCCTCTAACTCAAACAGGAGGAAACGGAAGCCGTGAGTCATGCTACTGGTTATTGCAAAAGCTGAACTAGAATCCAGGACATCTGACTTCATTTTTACTGACCGTTCTCCAACCACACATTAAACTGCCTCCTTGAAGAGGTCCTGGCTGTCTGTGAATACTCTGTGCTCAGCCAGCTTCAGACAGATGGGCCTCCTGAGCTGCCCTTGGCCCTCCTCCCTGGACTCAGCCCCTGGTGAAGTCACCTGGCTACCTATTTCTACACTATTTATGGCTGTCCAAGTGACAGGCTTCAGAGCTCCACCACAAATCCCCCTTAGACTTGGCCTCCTGACTGCAGCTCCACCTGGTACAGAGAGCTCCCCTATTAATATCTCACTTGGCCAGAGACAGCCCCATGGCATTAAACCCACATTCTTCCTCTATCTGCTCGTTTGCTCATTGCAACTGGCTACTACTCAACCTACTTGGTGCAGATTGGAACAAGAACAGGACACCTGAAGCAGAGGATGAGGACAAAGGAGAGGATATTTACAGAGAAACTGTATTTTGACCAGGAGGCATGCTCTCGGACGTGGCATCACACACGAACTCAAGATCATTCTATATCCTCAAGCCTTCTTGTCAGCCTCTAGCCCTGACCCTGCGCCTCTTCTTTGGTTCTATTTTGAATGCATTTTCAAAAGCATTCCATTTGACAAAGGACATGCAGCCAAAATGTGCCTTGGCACTTTTTCAGTTTCCACTAAGGTTTTGTTGGTCACTTCCATTTGCTGCTTTTTCACTACATTGGACTCAAAAAAAAAAAAAACAACAACAAAAAAAAAAAAAACCCAAGTGAGAGCTCTTACCCAGAGCTTCCTGCCTGGTCTTGAGCCATACAGCATGTCTCTCAAAAAATATCATGCATAGTGTGGGTTTATTCCTCTTCTTTAGCCACCTATGTAGGTTGCCACCTATCACCAGCCTTCTATGTATTCCTGTGAAAGTGTCTCAGGATCCTGTTAACGTGATGTTAATTTTGGATGGTGGACTTGAGACTGTTGTCTATAGGTAATGCTTGAACTGGTATTGAACAGGTAAGCATCTACTATTTTTATTTTAAAAATAACGTTCAGTCTTAAAGGTGAAGAAGAATAGGAAGAGAACACAGAGCATCCATAGTACTCAATCTGATGTCATAGATACCCGGGTACCTGTCTCTCTCCCTCATTAGATGGTAACCAACTTCAGGGTAGAGATCAAGTCCCACTCCTTTTCATGTTTTCCCAGTATTTTGTCTCCAATAAATATGTGCCCAGTCATGGTTTCTCTTAGGCCCATTGCCTGTTTTATTGGGATGATAGGCTGGTGTTTATTTCCAAGACTCTCTCACCCACTCTAGGTTAGGCAAAGCGTCCTCCACCTCCTCCCAGTTCCCATCTGGACCTGTTTATGCCTCCATTGCAGGGGCCACATGAAAGAAGGTAAAAAAGACAGGTGGGTTCAAGAGGCTCTGGATGTAATTTGCATGCAATTAGCATATGATTTGTGTCATCTATTCTCAAGAAGTAATTTTCAAGTTAGAACTGCATCACTGCATCCCTTAAAACTGTCATGTGCCTGCTGGCCCCTTTCTTACTTTTTCTGCTTATCCCACATCCCCTGATTCAGATCCCTTACATTCAAAAACAAAGGAGGGAAAGACAACTCCGAGAAGGGGGAAGCTGATCAAGGACACTGGAATCCTGGCAGAATATTCTGAATGACATAGGAGCTGGGAGGCACCTTGTGAAAGTGGCTGGTCCTCTAGTCCCAGCACAATTCTCCAGCCTCTGTCAGTATCCTCAGCTGCTGAGACAGACTCATAATCCTTTTTAATCCTTCTTTGACCTTTATCTGACTTCTCCTTTTCAGGAAAATGATGAAGACCATTGCTGCAGCTCAACAACTGTTAACCCACTGACCAAGTGAATGGAATGAACCAGTCTTGGTGAAAACTAGGTGTTCGCTTGATTTTCTGGATCTGCAGGGATCTGGTGAATCTCCTGTCTTCCCTGCTTCTTTTCTTCACCACAGCTCCTCCTGCATTACCCTTCTCTGGGCTGCCACACATTCAGAGTGAGTACAATCTGGGGGAGTAATCCTCCTCCCCGCCATCCTTAAGAGTGAGGAACTTGCTCAGTTGCTACCTAGCAGAGGGTAGAAGTCTGTTTTGTAGGATTCCCCATCTCTGCAGGCATAGTTTCAGCTTCCCAGAGCTGACCAGTTTCTACCCTGCACCAGTTTAAGACTCATGCCAAGATTTTATCTCCTTCTGGGGCCCTATCTTGGTTCTGTCTCTCTCAGGAGCAGGCCCAGCCTGGAGGCCTGGATTATTTACACCTCTTTGGCTCCCTTGAGCAGCAGACTCTGTGGGCCCGAGAGCAGTAAATCTACCTCCTAATCACACCAAGCTGCTCCATGCAGTCTGGCCTGTTCTTGCGGGGCTGTTCATCACTGGCTGAGACAGGGGCTGTGGCCTAGAGAGAAGCCTCCGGGAAGTGACTGGCCCCGGCTTGCTTCCCTGTGGCTCCCTGCAAAATCCTACAGGGATTCTGCCTCTTCCGGGACCCTGGTGCAGCAAGAGCAGAGGTCTCCCTTATTAGATGGAACAGCTTCTGAACTAACCAGTTTCCTGGAGTCTGGAAAGGATATATGGATTGGCAGCAGCACTTACCTGTCTCTCAGACATGACATATAGGTAGCGCTGATCAATGGAGAAGGCCATGTCCCGAAGAATGGGGCTCCCATCTTTGAGCACAGAGACCATCTCATACTGGACCCCACCATGGGGGGGACCATCAGCTCGAATCTGCAAGAGAAACAAGGGTATCCTTAGCATGTATACACTTTGCCTTCCCTATTGGCTACCTGCTTCTACCTAGAAGAAGTACTTTCAAAAAACCCTTGCTACCCCTCCCAATTGCTACTCTGTAGCCAGAAACACCACTTACTTCAAACCTCCCAGTCTCCATACAGAGAATACTTTCCTAAGCCATCTGAGTGCACTGGCTGGGATTTCTGATGGTGGATTTATTTTTGTGTGCACATAGGCCCTCCGGAATAATTCTGACTATCTATATGTGGTTACTCTTGTGTACGTTACAGATATTTATAGCTGTATGTGATATATGAATATGCAAGTTAGTGCGAGCTTGGGCACACTTATTTGTGGATGGAAAGGGAGAATCAACATCTATACACGGTATCCTTACCTCAGGCAGATACAGGGAAATGCTGGGCAATTATACAAACCACCAAAAAGTGGTCATCAAGAGATTCAAGATTTTTGGACATTATGATGTCTTTCTTTCCCAAGATATAGGTTCTGACTGTCTGCAAGTCCACCCAGTGGGATGTGGTAATCTAGGAATCCTGGCTCTTTCTGTCCAAGTGCATCCCAGGACAATAAGTCAGAAAGGACTTGGTTGTCCTTTAGTCCAGGGTTTCTCAGCCCTGGCTGCACGTTTGTATCATCTGGGGAGTTTTTAAAAATATGAATGCCAGGGCCAGATGCATTAATCAGAATCTCTGTGGGTGGGGCCTGGGCATCTTCATTGGGTTTAAAATCTCTCAAGATGAATTTAATGAGTAGCCAGGGTCAAGAAGCAGTGAATAAAATCCAATATTCTCCAATCAGAGTGGCCTCAGAATTGCCTGCAGGGCTTGGTAAGATGTGTGGCTGAGCCCACCCCAAGAATTTCAGATTGGGGGGGGGATGAGCTCCATGGGCATGCATTTTTAACCCATTCTCAGGTGCTGCTGCTTCTGCTGGTACAGAAATACGAGAAGTACTAATTCAGGCTGAGCCCCATATACATGATTCTGAAACTCAAAAGAGAGAGAGGTCCCTAAAGTCATGCGAAAGTTGGTGGCATGGGCTGGGGTTGTAGCTCAGTGGTGGAGTGCCTGCCTAGCATGTGCGAAGAACTGGGTTTGATTCTTGGCACCACATATAAATAAATAAAAGGTCCATTAGCAACTTAAAAAATTAAAAAAAAAAGTTGGTGGCAAGAAGTTCTTGGTTAGATTGTGCTCCATCCCCAGTCTCCTTTCCCAGAGTATGAGCTGACTCTTGACCATTGTTCCCCCCCCCCCCCCCCCCCCCCCCCCCCTCACTTTGTCTTCTGCCCACCTAGATACCCTGGAGCCCAGGCCCCACCTCTTCCAGAAAGCCTTCCCAGCCTCTCTAATGGCTTATTAATGACATTTAGACTGATGCTTTTTTCCTACCAGACATCCTGTCCTAGGATTATAATCAATTGATTTGTTCATTGTATGTGTACTAGCTAACATGTATTGACCATCTATTTGAATTGTTTTCTAATTGCTTCCCATGTGCATAAGTCCTGCCAAAGCTTTGAAGATAGGAATATGTTTTCTATTTCTCCTGCAACTCTCTGAGGGCCTGCATAGGCTGGGGGACATAGTTGGTGATGGATTAAAAGGAATACTTGAGACATGTGTGTTGAAAGGAACTTAGATGGTGAACCAACTGATGGAGTATCCTGGATTTTTTATTGCTAAATTAAAGTTAGGCCAAACACATTTTCTTTGGAAAATCTGAAGAATACATCTTCTCCTTTCTTATACTGTGTGCGTTCTCAGGGCATGATCTGCACTGCTGGGTTGGGCTGGACTGGGGTGAGTGGAAAGCAGACCATGAGCCCCTAATGGGGTGGAAAGTTCTGGCTCTGGAGTTCTCAGTGATAGACAGAGCAAATTCCTGCCTGAGGAATTCACTCATTCACTTCTTACTGAATCTGAGGCCCGTAGGCCTAGATTCCAGGGATGGGTACAGCGGCTTAGTGTCAAGGCATAGAGTGAGGGGTACCATGTTTTCTTCCTCACCTGCTTTGGTGGGTGACTGGGGGGCTCTGGATTGAAGTAGAGGAGGAAACCTCACCTTGTGGGCTGGACTCTACCTTCTCCTAAGCTTCATCCTTATCCTTTTACTACCTCACAGGGGGCTTCCAGCATTCAAAGATGCTGCCTTGACAACTATCACTGAAGCCCCTCCTTCCAGGGATGGGGGCACGAGGGTAGGTAGAGGGGAACTCCAAGAGTCAGCTATGATGTTTTGGGGTTGAGGCATCTATTCTCAATCCCGGAGCAATTATGATTATGAGAGTTAAGCAGAAGGAAGAACAGAGTCTCTATTTGGGGAAAACTTTCTATGATTAAAGTGGTTCCCCTTATCATTCAAAGCAGGGTTCTCCTTTGGATGGACAGGGCCAAATTTCTATAAGGTCCTTGCAGAAATGTGGTAGCACTGACTCACAAAAATTCTCGATTACTGTAGGAGGTAGAGGGAAGATGTTTGGCCATGGCTTCTGGTTGGCTTGGCCTTAGTTTTCTGTCTTCTACAACCTAGGGAATTTAGGGTCTGCTTCTTGCATGACTCTGAACCGTACCTTACCTCTGAAGGAGAAACCCTCCCTTGACAGCTGCTCCTCTCCAGGGAGATTTATGTCTCCTTAAGCTGGTTGGCTCAGGAGTTGTAGAAGCAGCCCTCTGGGCCCAGGCCTGGCCCGGGACCTCCTCCCTTAGGAGGCTGGTTGACCCACTGCCAGCTGGAGCAGCCACCCTCTCCATGAGCCTGGGCCCTGGCTTGGATCCCCAGAAGGTCTGACACAAAGTCAGAAGGAAGAACAAATGCCACGGGTCTGGCCCTCCCTCAGTGGTCCCTGGGACTAGATGGTACTGTGGCCAGACTGGAGCTGGAGCTGACCCAGCCACCACCCTGACACACGCCGCTGCTGTCTATTGGGACCAATCCTAATCATTCACTTCTTACTGAATCAGAGACCTAATCAGAATCTTTTTTTTTAATATTTTTTTTAGTTGTCCATGAACTTTATTCATTTATACGTGGTGCTGATAATTGAACCCAGTGCCTCACACATGCTAGGCAAGCACTCTATCACTGAGCCACAACCCCAGCCCATAACCAGAAGCTTTTAAAAACTTCCTGTCTGCAACCCCAATCTTTTAATAAACCAGTGAAGCCAGAATCAAATCTACATAGGTCTCAAACGTGAGCACTAAAACCAAACCAGAACAGAAAATGTTGTTGGTTCTGAACTTGAACTAAGCTCTCTTATTCTATTTAGTCTCCATCCTTGGAAAGAAGGGCAGTCCTGGCCAAGAAGTCTGTGCTTCCCTGGGCATCCTCCTACTCCCTGATACCTGCCGTAGCTCGAACAGCCCTTTAAGACACCTACAGGAAGTCAGAGAAAATGGAGAATGGGGGCCAGAGGGCCAGGGGTTAAGGAGAATGAGGTGGGCCAGGACAGTGGGCAGAAGGCAGGCAGACGACTGGGCAGCAGAGATCTTTCTCTTCACTGGATACCTTCTGCTCCCTCTGGGTCACCCATTATTAGCATGGGGAGAATATAGTTCTGGGACTCAGGCATCCTGGGATTCACTTCTGATTCTCTTCTTGCCTGGGCATGGCTTACTTTTAGGAGAATCACCTCCCTGAGCCTCAGTTTTCCTCTCAGGCTCAGCACCTGTTCCAGAAGGATCACTGACATCGCTGCCAGATGGCAAGGGCTTTGGGGCTCATAGCCTAAGCTTTTCTATTAGAGGCCCCCACCAGGGTTGGAGCCAGTCAGTGATATTCAGAGAAAGCACACAACAATGGAGAGATTAGCCCCAGAGAGATTAGGGAAGTTTTTAGGTCAAAATTGTCCCTTCTTGCCAGACACAGGGTGCCTAGTGGCGAGGAACTATCAGGGAGTCATGAAACAAAAGTGGGATTTTGAAAACCAATTAGTTGGGTTTATTGTGTGGTGCCCCACCAAGTTACAGTTCTCTTCAGCGTTTAAGCTTGCATCCTTGGGGCCAGGTTTCGAGGACCACAAGGACAGCCATAAATGGAAATAGGCCACAAATCCAGTCTGAGGGCATGCATTATCAGGTCAAGCTGCACAGGTCTTAATATCCAACCAGGCAGTGGAGGGCCAGAGATGGGGCAGAGAAGGAGGTGGTACTGACAGGTGGAACCAGCCACCTGAGCATGCTTTTCTAGTTGGGTTCTTCATGTCCTGGGAGGAATTGACCTCAGTGGACATGCAGAAGCCATGGGGCCTTAGTGCTTGGCCAAGATTGAAAAGAGCAGTACCACAGGGGGCATAGTCAGCTACAGACAAGGGTGACAGTCTTTACTGAGACCTACAGAAGACAAATTGTGCCTAAACTTTTGCACAAGGACATTTAGATGAGCTTGAAAAAGAATTCCTGCCCTGAAGACACCTGACTGTAGAATGGGTGACCACAGAAGTCTGTGATCTTCTTAGAAGGAGTTTTAACACAGGACAAACCCTTTTGCTGTATAGTTCAACTTGGTCCTGCCTAAAGGCAGTAGGTTAGACTTGGTAAATTTTCAAAGGTCCCTGTTCACCCAATGAATTTATTAATAGCTGCCACTTATACAGCTTTTATGACATGCTGGCACTTTTGAAAGTTGGTAATAAAAATTAGCTCATTTAGTCCTTAAGGGTACCCCTGATGTAAATAATATTATCATTCTTCTTTGACAGATAAGAAATCTGAGGCCAGGAGAGGCAACTTTCCTGAGGTCATACAGCTAAAGAGTGGCAGAACCCAGCTTTGTACATTGCCCAAATTCTCGCCACTGTGTAACTCACCCAAGACAGGGTAATAAGCATTTCTCTATTCTCTGTAGCTGAGCAGAATGGAAGGGTAGCTTAGAAGTCCAAGTTCTCCCCTTCATTCCCCACAGTCAACGAGGGACATCACCTTTTTTTTTTCTGGGGTGCAACAACAAACTCAGAACCTAATTTAGGAGGGCTTTACTTGAGATCTAAAACTCAGTTTAACAGGTCTGGCTTTGGGGTAGGAACATGAGAGATAAAGCCCAGGGAGATTTACTGTCCAGTTTCCAGGTGGGAGGGGACCCTTGGAAATGAAAATGAAATAGTAGCTCTCTTAGTATCTTTCCTTTAAATCACAGCTATGAAATTAATGACATCCTCTTTACTTGAACATCCAATTCAAATCAGCATATCCAATTAACTTGCTTACCTATGAGCCCCTTAAACTCTTTTTCTTGTGCATCAATTTCTTCCCAAGTTAGCCTTAAATTATGAGGCCCTTACTTGGGATTTGGCACTCTTTATTACTTTATTAGTACAGTAGTAGTGGTAGTAATAGCCAAAAAAAAAAAAAAGATTTTTTTTTTCAAAAGCTGCTGGAGAGCATGGAATTGGGGATCTTCTTAGGTCTCTCAGTAGGAAAGAAATTGATTTGACAGGCACCACCATGCAGAGGGAGGCCCTGGATCCTGTCTGGAGGGTGGGGATCTAATCCCTGTTTTCTCATTAATTGGCTGGGTGACTTCAGGCTAGCTGCTTCACTTGTTGATATCATAGTTTCTGTAGCTGCCAAATAAGGGTGGTAACTCCTGTCCTTCCTAGTTTGAAAAGGATATTGTAAAAATGTAATGAGTTATTAGCTATGAATTTCAGGACTGTTCATGTTTATTTATTACATGGCTACCATGAGCTAGGCCTATGTTACAGAGTTGAGGACACTGTGATGAATGACTCAGGACCCCTCAGGAAGCCCAGGCATGGGGAAATGGACAATCTAATCCATCTTCCCAAACCCATGTGACACTTGTGAGAAGAGGTTTGCATGGGGACTCCAGGGGGAGCAGCGTGGGGATGGGGCAGTGCTCAGCTGGTCTGAAGGAGGACCTGATGGGGAGCTGCCTGGAGGAGGTGAGGCCTAGCTGAAAAGTAGGGGTGGAAATGGGACTTCTTTGGGAAATGTACAGTTTGATACAACTATAAATGTGATTTTGTTATGTCTGAGTTTGGATATCTTGAAAACTTGGGTTTTCAGACTTGAGCATTTGGGAGGGGTAAGATTGACATGGAGTAACTGAGGACTCCACAGTAATTTTAGTAGGTCTCCTGCACTTCCATCCATCTTTGGAAGAGGCCTTTATCACTTGGTTCCCTGCTTGCACAGGACTCTGGGCTCCTATAGTATACTAGTGTGTGAGTGGCATGTGTGTGGTGCTTGTATGTGTGGCATATGCAGCATGTGGCATGGTGCGTGGTGGGTGGAGGGTATGTGCATGTGCACATTCAGATCTTTAAAGAGGAGAAGGGTGGAGAAGGCCTGGTGCTGCTCAGCCTGCACTCTGAGTGAGTTAATGAGCAAGCGTAGCTGCACCTGTGCGTTTAGTGCTGCGCACTGATTCAAGCTCAAGTTTATTTTTGTAGAGCTTCATGACCCGAATTATTTATAGAGTGAAGTCTGGTAAATTCAGCATCTAAGGTTTTTCCTCCCTCTCTTCTGCACACATATTCACACACATCACACACACACACACACACACACACACACACACACACACACACGGGTGCATGTACAGAGAGGCAGCAGCAACTTGCAGGGTGCCTGTATGGGCCCTGCCTTCTGAGCTGTATGGAGGAAGGAACATTAACTAAGCAGAGTCACGGATCAACAGGCCGAGGCTCCCTGGAGGACAGCTGGGGGCCTGGCCCTAAACACTTGGGTAATTGGAGGGGACTTACTTAAGAGCCTGGCCTGTGGGCTGCACTGAGCTAGGAGAGGAGAGGAACAGGGGAGATTCGGTGAAGGGTTCCCCGGTTCACAAAGAGGAAGGAGGTCACTAAGAAGTGCTGAGCTTTAGGAATGCCCACTGCTCCCCCTACACACACACACACACACACACACACACACACTCACACAACCTCCCACATACATGCAGATTCTTCCAGCACTTGTCCCCAGCAAGTTGTCGGTCAATCACCAGGGCTTTGACATTGAAGATTGACATTTCCTGGTACAATTATTTCTATTTCTGTGCATGTTAAGAATCTGCCCCAGATATTCAACTGGGGGAGGGGACTAGCAGAGGGGTGCATGGGGCTAGAGGAGTCTGCATTTTAGGGGGCCAGGCTTTCTCCTGGAATGTGGGTTCAGGTCTCCAGAGAACCCACTTGTTCTCTGGACTTCTGCACCTTGGAATAGTCAGAATTAATAGCCCAGTGAATAGGCAGCAGATATGGTGACTAGTTCTTGAGCATTTACTGTGAGTAAGGTAATGTTTGGGACTAGGTTGGAAAGATTGACTGGAGGGAGCCACTTTTCTTTTTCTAAGCTGTAGCTTTTCTGGTCATTAGCCAGGGAAAGATGGCCAAGCAACCACTGTTCTCTGCCACTCCTGGAATGGAGAGGAGCCACCTCTGCTTTATACTTCCTGATGGCTAATGACAATCTGCACCTTACAAAGAAACCTGGTTCCCATCTTTGGGGTGTCTCCTTCTACTGTGCAATGGAGAGTGACACCAAGACTTGGAAGCAAAAAGAATCCAGATCTCTTGGTTCTACCACTGTTAGGGAGCATTCGAAGGCCTGAGAAGAAATATGGGCTAATGAGGGGTGAAATGAACTGGGGCAATGCAGGAACACAGGGCTTGGCCCTCAGACCAGACCCACTTTAAAACACAGCTCCAGCTCCAGGCTTGGGCATATCAGAGGCTCTGGGAAGAAGAAGCTGCCAGGGGCAGAGGAAGCACTTGATTGTTCTGGGAAACAATAAGATAAACACAGCGAGGGACAGCCGAAGCATTAAGCAGCCTCAGATGAAATCAAATCACACAGAGGCATAGCAATAATTCATGGAGTGCACAGAGTTGGGGGGGGGGGGCGTGTAGAGGGGTGGTAGGAGGAATTTAATAAAGAATAATGAGGAACTTCTGCCAAATTGGAATCTTTGTTTATCCAAAGCTAGGTGGGGTGCTCAGAATCTCCATTTAAGGCACTGCACACAGGTTCTTTTCCTGGGGATGCCCTGGTGGTTTAGGGATAGAACTGAAGCTCATAGGCATCTTGAACAGGGACTGGTTTAGATTTACCCTTTGGAGTCTGTGTGGAGGGGAGTGTAGCCTTTCTCACCAGGCGCTGGAAGAGGTGAAGTTTGGAAGTGAGGGAGGTACATATTGACAGGTCAACTCCCTTGAAAATGCCCCATCCCACCCCCCAGGAGGGAACAGGAAAAGAAAACTAGTGCTTCCTGGGACTAGATACACATAGTGCTTTTGTTGAACATCTTTCTCTCTTTATTAAATTATTTCGGGATGTTCACTGAGTGTCTATTCAATGTCAACCACTGTGCAAAAAAGTTTGGGAGAATGAACATAAATAATTTTCAAAACACTGTAGGCCTTCCATTTTGCGGGATAAGAAACGCTAAATGTTTATAGCTGGATCCCACAGCTGGTAAGTGGCAGTGTGGAACTCAAAGCTGGGTCTACCTGATTCCAAAGCCTGCATGCTGTCTTTTTCTTTCATTCTGCCTCTCTCTGGGGCCTCCATTTTTCCTAAGTCAAACAGGAGAGCAATGCCTTCATCATCAGGACTAAAAATTACATTTTAAAAGAGCTGGGTGTCTGGGGAACAGAATAGATCATATGGCTGTCTACTCCAGTGTGACAAAGAAGGCCACCTGCAGTTTGGGAAAAAAAAAAAAAAA